ATTCTCCAGAATACGTAATTTTTCTTTGGAATGTGTAAAAACGTACACGAAAATATGGAACCGTGGATGTAATCTATCATTTTGAAGAAATGTTGGACATGAAAAGAGGATAAAACTTCTTTAGTGCTGTTTCGTTCCCATTTTTCTTCATTTTGATTGCTGTTTTTCTTCAATTAAGAGAAGTTTTTTTTTTGGGTGTAGCCATATCGGTCGAAAAGACTCCCGTTTTTTTTTTCTTTAAAGCAATCATGGAAAATTAGACCTTGTCAACCAATTATACTTCGCTGCAATTGGTTAAGACACGATAGACCCGCCAAATTTAACTAACTGGTAATAAGCGTCAAATATAAATATTTATATAACTAACCAAAAACATATCTTTACTAAGCCACAGCGCATGCGCAGAGCAGTTGATGAGTATTAGGACTGTAATATGTTTAAAACATTTAATGTATGAATAAATTATTATGCATGTGTGTATTTGGTTATGTAAATATATTGTATGTGTGAATATGTTTTTGTGATAAAGTGTAGAAGCCATTATTGACTCCGATTAGGTTTTTGATATGTATTTGTCTTTCAAAAAGTTGACAGCTTTGAAGTACCTAATTTTTGTGTTAAAAAAATAAAACTAATTTAATCCTAAAAACACTATACAAAAAGTGAAACTAAAAACCAAAAATAATATGAATTCTTAAATATAATTGAGACTAACAAATAACTCATTAAACACTCATACATAAATACATTCATAAACACACACACCACACCACTAAAAAAACTACATATAACCAACACGAAAGTCGAATTGTCTTTGATAGCGAGAAAATTGTACGAGAGAGAAACATAGAGGAAGGGAAACAGAAGACCAGCTGCATGTATATTAGCGTGGGCCGAAAATCGGCTAGTTTTGTAGTAATAATATATAAATTACCGTTTATAAAGACTAAAAAGTAGAAATATACTCCACAAGAATTGTTGATATTGGAATTTGCAAAGTATTATAAATAAAATAACGTGCGAATGTACAACTCACCTATACTAATGTCCTCATTCATTAAAGATTGATTAGTGACAATAGTACAATTAAGAAAGGGCTCTATTTCCGTGTAGCAGTATACATAGGCCTCTAGTGCTCTACTCGCCCTTCTGCTTTAGACTCAAACTGTTGGTCCGACACAAATTGAGTTTCTATACAACATGATTTCAACACAACTTCAATATAGCTTGTAAATATGTTCTTATAATTAATTGTGTATGGAAATTTTCATCACCGCATCCACATTCAGTACTAATTTTTTTTTTCTAACTGATTCACAAAAAGGTCCATATCCAAATTATTTAGGACTAATACTTTCGAAGATTATTGCAAATGTATTAATTAATTTATTTATTAGTTTTTATTTTTTGAGCATATTGAACTTTTGATGGACTTGGGCGAGCCTAGGATATTGACCAAAAAATTCCAAATTTCACACAGATTTTATTAAAGCATAGTTAATAATATTTTTGCTATTACCAATCAAAATTTCCAAAAGGCGGATTTTCGGCCCACGCCAATGTATATGCTGCGATGAAGATCATTGCCATGAGATTAAACTGAGTCAACGGTAAGCGAGAGGACCAATTACAAAATGAAGAAGATGTTGAAGAAAACGTAAAAGTTGCACAGACTCATGACACGATTTTCAATCTAAGGAGGTGCCATCCGACCTTGTCCAACTGTTATCGGCATCAGGACCTTATAGAATTACAGATTCATTCAGGCAATGAACCAAAAGTTGAACGAAAGTAGGCAGCCGGCCAACCCCACTGAAAGCGATTAGTTGAGAGGCTGTTTACACCAGGCGATTGTTGCTGTCAACTAAATACTGAAAAATTTATGTAAATCTATTAGATATCACTAGATTGAGGCCGGACCTTAAAGTATAAGCCTTTTTCTTAATCTTCGCTTTATTTAATCAACTAACTAGTGACAATATAGTGTGCTCAATAGTGGAGATTTAGCTGTCTTTAAACTGTAGCAAGGAGTGTATAGTACTCTTTGGAGTATTTGTGCTCCTGTTTATAGCTTTATTTTGTTATCTTAAATGAGTAGAATAAAACCCCTTAAGATTTTCCAGTGATAATAATAAATAAATGTCGTTGATAGTTTAAGTGCTCTGAAGCAGATTCGATTGCGGGAGAACGGGCTCGTATTTCCATCCAAATTTTTACTTTTATTCGTGTTCATATTATCATATCAATATTAATATTAATATTAATATTCATATTCATATTCATATTCATATTCATCACTTCATATTCATATTCATATTCATATTCATATTCATATTCATATTCATATTCATTTCACATATTTTATCATTATATTCTTCATTTCTATAATTTTTTTAGTTCGCATTCGTATTAATTTTCGTATACAAAGTAAATATTCATATTTAATTTCATATTTATATTCATATTAATATGCATATTCATATTCATATTCATATTCATATTCATATTCATATTGTTATCCATATTAATATTTATTCTCGTATTGATATAAGTAATTTGATTTGTATTTGCACTCGTATTCGTATTTATATTCGTACTCGGGTTTTTCTTCGTACCGGCATTGTGCGATTCCGTGGGATCATCTGTTGCGTTAATGGGGAAACTTCAACAGATTTTAGAGCGGAGCTTGCAAATGATGAAGTTTTCCGGTCTCCATGCGCAAAAGGAAACCCAAAGTTCAAATTTGGGGTTAGTGAATGAACTAGGTCGTATCAAAAAACCACTGAAACCCCTGACTTTATCTGCCTAAAGGTATGCTACCATATTACTGCAGAGATAAAATCCGATATGTTCGTCATTCATAAAATTTTTTTTTTTTCAAATTAAAACACTGTGCGCTTCAATATTTTCTAAGCATTTCATGCGTTCGAATCTTCGTAAAGTGGAATTTGCAAATTTGAATTGCACGGTGTCGCTGGTGACAAATGGATTAGTGCTCCCACCTTAACGATTCCATATTCAAAAAGCAAGTGCGTGTATGGGTGTAGTGTACGTTGGTGTGGTTGTGTGTGCTTGCTATGCATTTCATTCTTGTCATTTCAATTACTAACAGTTAGCTGATTCTTGCGCATCACAAATTTCAAATGTTGTATTGTTTAACTCAACTCGCACAATGTGTTTTGGTGGTTTAAGTGTGTGGGCGTATTTTGTGTAGAAAAAAAACAAAAAAAAACACGCACATACAAGAAAACAAGCAACCTGACATGAATCATTACATAAAAATTGCCTGCAAACTACAAATGATGGAAAATGTAGTTGAATTTTCGACTATTTTAGCATTTTTAGTTTTGTTTTTCCAACTAACCGACTTGCTAGAACAAAAATGCTTTACATTCTTAATAAAACACTGATTTTTTAGGTTTTTTGTTTAACTAAAAATCTATAATAAACGCATTTGACGCAGAAATATTATCATTGTACTAAACAAAAAACAAGCATTTAAAATCGACCCCAAAATACAAAAAATATTTTCAAAACTAAAACGAAATCGTATAGAATTTTCAAAAGTAGCCTATCAGAACAACTTAGATCGAAAATATAGTTTTAAAAGATGCAGCGAATAGTGTGTGTGACTTTTTTTTAATGGGCGCCTAATTTACGTGTACTTAGTCTTGAGTAGATAAATGGTAGACAACGTATGTATGCATGTATGTAAATACTTATTTTAAATGCAATAGATGATGAAATTGTTAGCCTCATTGCTTTTAATTCAAATACACGCAATATTTATTCCTATGAAATGTTATTTTTTTTTTTGTTATAGAAGTGACTTATTTATGGCATACTTTTGGGGCTGGTACTGGTCTTATACGAAATGACGAAAATTTAAAAGCTTCATTTAAGATATTTATTAGATACATAGTTATAAAGCTTCGAAAGCTCTGCCTTACACAATTTACACACGACAAAAAAAGCTCTGCCTGCAGGTTTTTTTTTTGTTAGTTAGTGGTTTAGATCAGCGATGGGCAGAGACAGCTTTTACTTTGCACGCGCTTATATAAATTGTATAGGAGCTTAAAAGAGTTTTGCCCCGGGGACAAGGCAGTGCCCATGACCGGTTTAGATCGTAAGTAGTTACACTTCATAGGAACGCGCGTAAGTGCTTTCCAAGGTTTATAAAGATATGTTTATACATATAGACGGCTGTACATGTGTATGTGAAAAGCTCTCTTCGATCGTAGAATATGCAAAGCTATAATAGCTCTTTCTTACAAAATTTAAAAAAAGTTTTGAAAGCGGGCTTTGTGCCATACCTTTTAAAAGCTCTCTAAACTTTATAAACGGATGGTACAAAATAAAAGCTTTCAATTGCCGGTTAGCCAACACTAGTCTAGATATGCATTTAAGACAGCCAAGATCAAAACAGAACCTGCTGGAGCTTTTCAAAGCTTTCTATAGGTTTTATATGGACGCGAGCAGAGTTAAGTCTCACTATAGTAGCTAGTCACTGATTTAAGATTAGGGATGAAATAAAATTAAAAACAATAAACATTTATCTATTTTATCGAGTTGTAGACCCCTAAAATTATGCAAGTTTTAATAAAATTATTTGTATTGGGTTCTTGCATTGACAAAATTGTGAGAGCTTTACTAGCGCCTAAACTAGCGTAAACTATTCAGTGAACTTAGGTGCAGCAAATAGAAGGGAAAAAGCAAGAGAGCTAGGTGAAAACTTAAGCTAACTGCCGAAGCGCAAATCGAATTGATTTAAAATGCATTTCCATTTTCTTGCCAACGCCCAAAAGTATACCTTAATTGTAGTTTAAGATTACACTTGTTATTAAAATTATGCCTTCAATGATTCGTTTAGCGAATTACCATTCTATTAAATTTATCTAAATAAACACATATAAAATTGTATATTGTATCTGAGAATGTTGATCATACGGATACATAGGTATGTTTGTTATCAATATTGGAACAAAACAATTGCCACTTACCGAATCTAGTGTCGTGTCAATGTTGCCATTGGGTCGATCGGCCAATGTCGTCTCCTTCAAATTGATCTTAACATGATTGGCAGCCGATGTGGTGGCGCCGCCACGTTGCGGTTTCGTTGCATCGAGCAGTACCTTGAGCGAGGCGATCGCATGCAGTTGGGTCGCCTTCTCGTCCACCTTGCCTGGAACATCATCTTTGTCATTGTCATTGTGTGCATTTTTTTTGTTTTTTTTTTTGATTTTTTTATCATTGATTTATTGATTTATTGATTAATTGTTGTGTGCATTTGGAATTGCAATTTGATTTTTAAAATATTTAAAAAAGTTTGTTTCGTGTTTAATTTGGTTGTGGATGTTTTTTTNGTTTTTTTTTTTTTTTGATTTTTTTATTATTGATTTATTGATTTATTGATTAATTGTTGTGTGCATTTGGAATTGCAATTTGATTTTTAAGATATTTAAAAAAGTTTGTTTCGTGTTTAATTTGGTTGTGGATGTTTTTTTTTTGAATTGATTTAAAATTTGTATTGCATTTAGCATTCGAATTTGAAAAAAAATTTGCAAATTTTTTTGTAAGTAATTCAATATAAAAATATATTTAAATTTATTTGCATTGCAATTGCGTGATTGTTGGCATATGAGCATTGGTATTGGCATTGATTTTAATTTTGCATAGAATTTTGTTTGCAGATGCATTTGTTTGGTTTATTTTTGTACGAGAATTTACGTTTGTGATGCGGTACGGAACGATTTTGCAATTGACGATTGTTTGGAGATTGTTTGTGTATATTTTTGATATTTTTTTTTAAATTTATTTGATAAAATTCAAAATTCGATTTCGATACGATTTTCGATTGGTAGCAATTCGATTCGATCATTTGTTTGGGTTCAATTTATTTTATTTTTTGAGTAAACGGAAAAATCCAAGTAGAAAAAAATTTAAAAAAAGGAGAAAAAAAGAAAAAAAATATATCGATTAAAAATCGAAAAACGAATTGAGTGCAAATTGANATTTTCGATTGGTAGCAATTCGATTCGATCATTTGATTGGGTTCAATTTATTTTATTTTTGGAGTAAACGGAAAAATCCAAGTAGAAAAAAATTTAAAAAAAGGAGAAAAAAAGAAAAAAAAATATATCGATTAAAAATCGAAAAACGAATTGAGTGCAAATTGAGTTTATTATTTTTAGTTTTACACAATTTTCTTTAATAAATAATTTTAACAATTTATTATACAATTGAATTTAGTAATTGATATTAATATAATACAATATTTTTACTATTCAATCAATTACTCAATCGATTAATCATTGAATTAATTAACATTTAAAGAATTTTGAAACAGAAAAAGTTGCATTTATAGACTTTCATTGTTTCAATCGATTAATTCATTCAATAACTTTGTGTTTGTTAACTAATCAGTTATGGAGAGAGTTAGAGAGAGAGAGAGAGAGAGATTTAAATACAGAGAGAGGGAGCCAGATAGCGGGCGAGCTAATTAGAGAGATAGAGCTTCTAATGCAAGCAGCACAAAGAAGAGCAAGAGCGCTAGAGTAAACAATGCAAAAGTAGAATAAGAGCAAGAAAATAACGCCGCTAATTGGCTTAACCTTGCCTTAACATTTCTAACTAAAGTGAGCTACATAAATAACAGGGAAAGTATGTGGGAAAGGCAGAGGTACGTGGCGAGTAAGTCATAGGTTTATGGGCGCGATAGTATTGTAGAAGGAAAGCGAGTGGTAAATTGCTTGGAGGCATAAAGAAAATTGTTCTAAATATTGGGGGATGAAGGGTTCTATTAGATTTAAGAGCAGGCGTTAGTAGCCAGAGATGTTACATAAATAAATTAGTGCTAAGTAAATCAGCTACGCAAATATTTAACTACACAAAAAGTTGATTAAACACAACTCAAATGAGGTAGCGGGGTTGGGAAAATAGAGAGCGCGAGAGCGACTGCGCACCGAAAGATATAAAAGGAGGAGGGTAGTATTTAGGAGCTAAGACAGCTTGAAAGTAAGTTAGAGAGAGAGAGAGAGCGAGAGCGAGAGAAAAAGAGCAAACTGANGCCGAAAGATATAATAAAAGGAGGAGGGTAGTATTTAGGAGCTAAGACAGCTTGAAAGTAAGTTAGAGAGAGAGAGAGAGCGAGAGCGAGAGAAAAAGAGCAAACTGAAAGCTTAGCGCCAGAAGAACAAACATTTTTTACACTGAATAAAAACTATATTGAATCTATGGAAATTTGTATACGCTTCTGTCGAGGATTACGCTTTGGTCGTGACTCGCATATATAGGTCACTGAGGCCCAGAGCGCTGTTATCTGGTGCGCGGCAATATAAAAATGTAAAAACGTTTACTGAAAAGTTTATTCTCGCGGTATATGCTTTTGCCCCGCCTGAGGAAGTTTGAGAACGCTCAACCTGCACACTTTTCTTTTTAGCCGACTTCAAAAATAGGAAAAGGTTAACAATCCGTCGGAATATTTTTTTTTATGTATGTATGTTCTTTTTCTATCGGAAATTAGTGACTCCGAGGTGGTTCCATACTAATTTGGTTTAGATCGGCTCAATTGATCATGAAGAAAGTAACGGTACTCCTAAAGTTGGTTGTGTTTTTTGCTTAAAAATTACTTGTTCGCATCCCTGGCTTATAGCAGCGACGATAAGAGAGAACTTTGATTTTGAAGTCACTCTTTTATAGCAGTGATGGACATGGCCTTACATGCTCTTAAAGCTTCTTTTAAGCTTTTGTATACATTTTATATGTCACAGTGACGACCTGAGAGAGAGAGAGCGCGTTGATACCGTCACCATCACTGAATAAAATCTCACATCCATATAAAATCAATAGAAAGCTTCTCTCGCGGAACACGTTTTGGCCGTTACTGGCCTTTGTATGGCAGTGATGTTTCGATAAAGCTTTTATATTTTTTCGCGGCTATATAAAATTTGTAGAAAGCTTTCAAAAGCTTATTAATGTGGAATATGTTTTTGTTGTGACTGATCTAAATATATAATACTTTAATAGCTCGGGCTGTATACGTTTATTTTTCACGTCAGTAGTCATAGCTGCGAATACCAGAGAGAGCTTTTTACCTGCTTGAAAGCTTGAAAAAGCTCTGAATGAATAGTGATAGATACTACCTTACATGCGGGAAAAGATTCATATATACATACATATTATATGTAGTAACGACGAACGGAGTAAATGGTCCAAATTATCATATCGAAGACATACATATGTTGTCACATATGTATGTTCATATTCGTTGGATGCGTACAGAGCNACGAATACCAGAGAGAGCTTTTTACCTGCTTAAAGGCTTGAAAAAGCTCTGAATGAATAGTGATAGATACTACCTTACATGCGGGAAAATATTCATATATACATACATATTATATGTAGTAACGACGAACGGAGTAAATGGTCCAAATTATCATATCGAAGACATATGTTGTCACATATGTATGTTCATATTCGTTGGATGCGTACAGAGCTTTTTTGAGGTTCATAAACATTTTATATATATAATCAACGAAACGCAGCTTAAGAGCAGCGCTTTGTAAAGCTTTATTTAGATTTTATATGAACGTTTATATGGTGAAAGCTCAGTTGTAGAGGTGTAAAGGCTCCTATTTCTTCACTCATTTCGAGTTATAAATTTTTTTAGATAATTTAAAAAGCTCAGTTTGTGTTTCATATACGCATGGATGTTGTTAGTGATTTATTTATTGTACGCATGCAGTCTTGACCAAAATGTAGCCTAAGGACAGAGATTTTGTAAGCTGCCTTTAGATTTTATAAGCACAGCGATCATACTGCGAAAGCTCTGATGTAGAAGCGCAATGGCGCCTATTTCCATTAGAGCTTTTTAGTTACAGCCAATATTAAAACGATTTGATTTAAGGACTTTCTATTTACAGGCAAATTTTTGGCACGCATATTTTAAAATATCTTTTTTTAAATTTTTAAAATTTTTCTTGCGCTTAAATTTCTGTTTTGTTTGGCTCTCATTCGCTCTTGACTCGATACTGTACTCACCTTGAGTACAAGAAGGGTAGGTAGCTACATAAAAAAAAATTGCAAAGCTGTTGTTTAGCTTTTGTTGCGCTACCCACTAAATAACTACATGCTACTAAATTCACTAATTAAAAAGTACTAATACTAGTTGTAGTAACTAGTAGAAAAATTGGTATACTACGGTTTTTTGTTTTCGGTTTTGTTTTTATATTTACCACGCCACGGCCAAACTTTAGATTTTCGCTTTTCATTTCTTGTATTGTTTGTATGTATGTAAGTGTATTTGTGGCTGTGTGAGCTTTTTGCGATGTGTATGTGCGCGCATGAGAGTGAGTGCGTGTTTTCCTCAGTGTTGGTTAGTCTACTTTTCAGCGCAACTTTCACTGATTTCGTGTTTTGCTGCCGGATTGAATGTGGGAGTGGGGAGATTTGTTTTCGTTGTTTTTTTTTTGCTTTTTTGGTGGGATTAAGGAGTGGGTTTTTGTGTTTTGTTGTTGTTTTATGTTTTTTTTTTTCTTGTATATAGTTTAAGTTAAATTCAATAGCTTGTGTTCATTTGTGTTTGTATGAATGAATGAAAAGATAATGCTTTGCATTTGCTGGCATTTCTATTTGATTTAATTTTTTTTCAGAAATTCTTTATACTCAGTCTTATTTTTTTGGCGAAAGCTAAGGACACATTACGGGAAATGTGACATTTAAAGGATGGATTGCTATGGGTTGGAGGATTAAATTGCTAAGTTGGTGGCATTAAATATAATTTAAGTGAGTAACGCATTGCTTCATGGAAATTTTGCTGCTTTAAGCTGGCGTGTTATGAAAAATTAAGCATTTTTTATTGCATTTGTGTTGGTTCTTGTGAAAGCTAAGTATTTTTAAATTGAGCTTGTTCGCAAAAGCTGCGCGAAAACGTGAAAGCGGTGGTGAGTTATTGTTCTTTTTTGCGATTTCACTTGTAAGCTAATGCCATGGCGAGTGTGGCTTTGATTTAAAACGGTAAGGTGTGGGGGGACTACATATTAAATAAATTGGTTGGTTGGGCCTACAATTAATTTGCGAAGTTTTTGTTAAAGTGATTTTTACTACAATAAATTTGTATTTCTTAAAATACTCGTCGAATATCTAAAACTACAAAACAAATATACAAATTGTTAAGTTCTTATA